GGTCACCCGGTTGTTAAGCGAATCCGGCTTCCCCATTTTGACTTCGCTCGTCAGAAAGTCGCGAAAGGGAATCACATGACTCCAGGACCCTGGGCATCCGTCATAAGTACATGCCAGTTGCCAAGCGTCTCAGTTTTGAGCGCCCTTGCCCTCAAGGCACGCTGGGTGGCCCAAAAACGTTGCACGGACGTCCATCGAGGGTTGACGTCCAATGGGAGGTTTTTCTTCTCCGTTTCATAGAGATTTAATCCAAGGGTGAGTTTTCAACTCCCTTTGATGTTGACAACAAGCTATTCTAGCAGCAGCTCTGCAAGGCATCAAAAACGCAGGAGGCGGTGAAGGCAGAGGGAGCTGCTAACCATCTGTCTGCGCGGGGATTAATTTAAGGGAATGAATCAAATCATTTCTGCAAAATTCTGCCTTTTCACCCAACTCTTTCTTGGCGCGTACCTGAGTACAGAGGTGATTTGGGCCAATTCGGAGAAACCGGTAGTTGCACGATCTGCAGGTAGGACTGCCCACCTGCACTGGCGCAACCCCGTCCTATATTGCTATGTTTTTGATGCCACACGCAGGTGTGGATGGCGCGTAAGTTTGCCAGGTGTCCACTATTTGAGCGGACAGTCCGCTTTTTTCACATTATGCTCACTAAGAGCCTCCATAAGCCTCCATATAAGAGCCTTGGTAGTACAGTGGTCTAAAGCACCCTGTTATTAAGAACAGCTGCCTGCAATTACTGCAGGTTCGAATCTCGCCAGGCTTAAGGTTGACTCAGCCTTCCATCCTTTCTAAGGTAGGTAAATTGAGGACCCAGTTTGGGGGGGCAATAAACTGACTTTGTATAAAATATACAAAAGAATGAAAGCTATTGCTTAACGCACTGTAAGCCGCCCTGAGTCTCCGGAGAAGGGCAGCATATAAATCAAATTTAAAAAAAAAACAAAAAAAAAACTATTTTTTTTTCACAAAACAGTGGACATTTTTTTTTATTCAAAAGCTTTATGATTGTATATTTTTAAAATATTTCTCAACGTTGTACTGAAATTAAAGAATTATTCCTTAAACACAAAGAATTGATCGAAGCTGCGCAGTCAGATAAAAAATACACACGACGGCAAAGTAAAATGTGATTTAATATTTTACATAGTATTATAATATATTTGATGTTTTGAATTTTAAGTAAAAGTTTTGAAGTGATTATTTTAATACGTGTTAAAATGTTTGTAAGAAAATATATAATTTAATTGTAAATTTTTTAAAAAATTTTTTTACTACTTAACACACACACACACACACACCCCGCTTGTCCGCTATTTTTTGGAAGCAGACCAGGCAACCCTAATGGCACGCATGAGCGAATTACCGGGTTTTGTGAGGCCACACGCATTCACAGTTTCCAATGCTGGGCGAACAGTTTGCTACAGTAAATGAAACCCACCTCTGCCTGAGTAGCTAATATAGGTCAGTGATGGCTAACTTTTTTGTCGTCACGTGCCCACATCCATAATTCAATGACCCCCGTGCCCTGCCCCTCCATGCATGCGAGTGCAACCCCCCGCGCTCCTCCCGCTTTTGGCATGCGATGACAAAAATGTTACCGGTGGGCTGCAGCTGAGCTAGGGCAAAGCTTGCGTGCCCACAGATATGACTCTGCGTGCCACCTGTGGCACATGTGATATAGGTTGTCCTTGACTTATAACAGTTCATTTGTGACCGTTTGAAGTTACAACGCCACTGTTCTGTCCCCGTCCCACACGCACACACACCAACAGATGTCCAAGAGTTAAAGACTAAACCAGCCGACAAAATCCTTTTCCTTATGATAACGGAACTTGGCAGCAACCTAGTGGTTGCCTGCCAAGAGTTTATTACTCACAAAGGGAAGAGATAACTTCTCTCCGCTTCTGGTACATCAAAGTAAAATGTTCAATAATTACAGAGTCAATCAAGTCCAGAGGTAATCCAGCAAAGTCTATAGCAAAAGTCCAGCAATGCAGAATGGCGTGGAAGCTTTCAGCTTTGTTCATCACAAGTTCATCGCGCTTATCTCTGCGACACTGTCGAGGATCCAGCCAAGACTCATTACCCTCGTCACTGTCCACCTATGGCTGCGTGGACGTGCTTGACCCCGTCCCTATCTCTTGCCCTTTGGCGGACACCGAAGGCATTGCCAGAGAGGAGGGTCCTGGAGAGGGAGGCCTTGCCAACTCCTCTCCTTCACTCTCGGAGTCCTCTCCTGCCAATGATACAGGCTCAGGTAACGGAGCCACAACAGCCACTGAAAAAAACTGACTTATGTTCAGTTTTCACAATTACAACCCAATGTGCGCAAGCTTCTGGTCATGTGACCAAAATTCAGAAACTTGCACAACTGGATCACATTTGTGACTGGTCGCCGTGTCCCTGAGTCACACGACTCCCTTTTGCGACCTTCTGATGAACAACGTCAATGGGGAAACCAGCTTCACTTAACAACCGTGTTACTAACTTATCAAGTGCAGTGATTCACTTAACAACGGTTGCAAGAAAGGTAAAGTGGAACAAAACTCACTTAACAAATGTTTCACTTAGCAACAGAAGTGTTGGACTCCATTGTGGTATTGTTTAAGGCTGGGTTGGCAGTCAGTCCTGGGGATGAAAGAGAATTCTGAATTGTTCATTTTTTGGGGGGTTGTTGGCATGCAATACCAGCCGGCATTTGGAAAAATATTGCTGAGTGGTGACTTTTCCACTGGAAAGAAGAAATAGAGATGGCGCGTTTCCTCTCAAATCATTGCTGCGGAAAAGAAAGAAAAGCAAAATAATAGTAACAATAAACGATGGCATAAAAGAAAGCAAAGATTGCTGAGCACATTGTAAGCACATTGTAAGCCGCCCTGAGTCTTCGGAGAAGGGCGGCATATAAATCAAATTAAAAAAAAAAAAAGATAATACACATAAGTCCTCCACTTACGACAGTTCATTTAGTGACTTTTCGAAGTCACAACAGCTGTTAAGTGAATCACTCCAGTTTTTAAGTTAGTCACATTTTGGTTGTTAAATGAATCTGGCTTCTCCGTTGACTTTGCTTGTCGGATGATTACAAAAGGGGATCATCACGTGACCCCTGGAATTCTGCGACCGTCATAAATACGAACCAGTTGGCAAATATCCAAATTTTGATCACATGACCAAAGGGATGTTGCAATGGTCGTAAGTGTGAAAAAGATCATCAGACGCTTTTGGGGGTTCAGTTGTAATTTCAAACCATCAGTAAACAAAGTGTTGTAAATTGAGAATTACCTGTATAGAATAGATGGTAACTGACTCAATGGCCATAACTACGAAAGAGATCACATGAGCCAGCCGTGTGCAGCAGCTGCCAAAAAAGCCAACACAGTTCTGGGCTGCATAAACAGAGGGATAGAATCAAGTTCACATTAAGTGTTAATGCCACTTTATAAGGCCTTGGGAAGGCCACACTTGGAATATTGCATTCAGTTTTGGTCGCCACGATGTAAAAAAGATGTGGAGACTCTGGAAAGAGTGCAGAGAAGAGCAACAAAGAGGATTAGGGGACTGGAGGCTAAAACATATGAAGAATGGTTGCAGGAACTGGGTATGTCTGGGTATGAAAAGAAGGACTAGGGGAGACATAATAGCAGTGTCCCAATATCTCAGGGGCTGCCCCATAGAAGAGGGAGTCAAGCTGTTCTCCAAAGCACCTGAAGGCCAGAAGAAGGAATAATGGATGGAAACTCATCAAGGAGAGAAGCAACTTAGAACTAAGGAGAAATTTCCTGACAGTGAGAACAATTAATCAGTGGAACAGAAGTTGCCTGCAGAAGTTGTGGATGCTCCAACACTGGAAGTTTTTAAGAAGAAGTTGGATAACCATTTGTCTGAAGTGGTGTAGAGTTTCCTGCCTTAGCAGGGGGTTGGACTAGAAGACCTCCAAGGTCCCTTCCCACTCTGTTATTCTGTAATTTTTGTAAGATTTGCACAAAATTATGACCTCCAAAAATGCTCTCGGGGGTGAGAATGAAGAGATGGGATGAGGTCAGGCCAGTGGTGAAATCCAATTTTTTTTTTACTACCGGTTCTGTGGGCGTGGCTTGGTGGGCGTGGCAGTGGAAGGATACTGCAAAATCTCCATTCCCACCCCACTCTGGGGGCAGCCAGAGGTGGTATTTGCTGGTTCTTCAAACTGCTTAAGATTTCCGCTACCGGTTCTCCAGAACCTGCTGGATTTCACCCCTGGATCAAGCTAACTTCTGTGAAAGGGGAATTAATCCTAGGCCAAAGGCAATACCGATCAGGGCAGGAAACATGTTTTTTTTCCTGGACATCTGCCCTTTCCAAGGTTAAACTGCCTTCAATTGCGGGCTTCAGTGCTTCTCCCCAGCGAGCTTGAAATCAATGCTAAGAAAATAAGTAAAAAAGGATGAGTGCCAGAAAGCGGAGGATAAGGAGAGGAGAACCGGGCAATAACCTAAGGCCAGGGGAAATATAATCATTATCTCCAGACTTTGAAGGTTATACGGAAACAAGTTTCATCCGAGAAAAAAACAATAAATAAAAAAGTTTTCTGCATGCAGAAAAACAACTACGGAGGTGATTCTCCTTCATCTCATAGGACCATTTCCAGGCAGTATTTTGTTCGGCCGAAGAGGATGATCTTCCTGGATTTTTGCACCTCTCCCCCCCAGGGGTGCTTCTCGATTTTATACGATTTTATAAATCGTAATTATCTGATCTCATTTTGGGACTGAGGGAGTGTGTTTGTTTTACGAGCTTCTCGTTTTGGATGGATGGATGGATGGATGGATGGATGGATGGATGGATGGACTGATGGACAGATGGACAGAAGGACGGACAGATGGATGGATGGATGGATGGATGGATGGATGGATGGAAGGAAGGAAGGATGGATGGGTGGATGGGTGGATGGAAGGACTGATGGACGGATGGACGGACGGGCGGACGGATGGAAGGAAGGAAGGGCCGATGGATGGATGGGTGGATGGATGGATGGATGGGTGATCGGATGGATGGATGGATGGACGGACAGAAGGACGGACGGACAGATGGATGGATGGAAGGAAGGATAGATGGATGGATGGGTGGATAGATGGGTAATCAGATGGATGGATGGATGAAAGGAAGGACAGATGGATGGATGGGTAGATGGATGTATGGATGGATGGGTGATCGGATGGTTGGGTGAATGGATGGATGGATGGATGGATGGACTGATGAACAGACAGATGGACGGACAGAAGGATGGACAGACAGATGGATGGATGGAAGGACGGACGGATGGATGGAAGTAAGGACAGATGGATGGATGGTGGATGGATGGATGGGTGGATGGATGGATGGATGGACGGAAGGAAGGAAGGACGGACGGACGACGGACGGATGGATGGACGAAGAAAGGACAGATGGATGGATGGGTGGATGGGTGGATGGATGGATGGATGGATGGATGGACGGATGGAAGGACGGATGGACAGATGGATGGATGGAAGGAAGGACAGATGGATGGATGGGTGGGTGGGTGTGGTGGGTGATTGGATGGATGGATGGATGAACGGATGAACGGAAGGAAGGACGGATGGAGGGATGGAGGGATGGAAGGAAGGACAGATGGATAGATGGGTGGATGGATGGATGGGTGGATGGGTGATTGGATGGATGGATGGATGACAGATGGGGAGATGGATGGGTGGGCACATGAGAGACAGATGGGCAGATGTAATGGATGGATGGATGGATGGGCAGATGGAGGGGTGAATGGAGTGATAGATGGGGAGATGGAGATATGGATGAATGGAAGGAGAGAGGGAAAGACAGATGGGTGGATGGATGACTGAATGGCAGATGGATATATGGATGGACGGACGGTTGGACAGCAGAGACAATTGGATGGGCGGATGAAATGAATGAATGGATGGATGGATAGATGGATGCATTGGCAGAGAGATGGATGGATGGATAGATGCAACCAGGAAACTGTGAATTCTAGTCCCACCTTAGGCATAAAACCTTGGGCCAATCATCAGGAGACGGTGAGTTCCAATCTTACCTTAAGCATGAAAACTGGTTGGAGGACTTGGATCCAGTCCGTATCTCTCAGTCTAACCCACCTGAAAGATTGGTTATTGTGGGGAAAACAGGAAGAGGAAGGCTTATTAGATAAAAATAATAAAGCTGGGAAAGAGGAAGGAAGGAAGGAAGGAAGGAAGGAAGGAAGGAAGGAAGGAAGGAAGGAAGGAAGGAAGGAAGGGAGGGACAGAGGGAAAGAAACTCTAGTGAGATTGAGCTAGGGATCTGGGGAGATCCCAGGCAAGAGAGAAAAACAGAACACCCAAACTCGTATGACCAGCTGACTTCAGACCGTTTTTCTAATGTTATTAACTATGATGGCTAAATTGGATTTGCTTCCTACTTGGACGGAGTTCCAGGCAGAGGCTTAGCTAAATGTTCAGACCAAAACTGGCCGAGCTTTAGCAACGAAGCCTCGGGATCCATGCCTCCAACTCCGGGGCCAGCTGGAAAAGAAAATCTCCCACAATGCCTTGCAGCCAGGCTTCCCACAGGGCATTGTGGGTAACTAACAGGACGGGGATCCAGCAATTAAGCAGACCTTCCACAGTGTCTGGTGAAGGACTCCAGTGAGGGATGTGGGAAAGGCCCTGGCTAGGGATGATGGGAGTTGTGGTCCATTCAAGTGGAAGGACGGAAGGGAAGGAGAACTGGAAGGAGGGAGAAGGAGAAGGAAGGAAGGAAGGAAGGAAGGAAGGAAGGGGGTGGGGGAGGGGGAGGGGGAGGGAAGGAAGGAAGGAAGGAAGAGGGAGAAGGAGGGGAAGGAAGGAAGGAAGGGGTGGGGGAGGGGGAGGGAAGGAAGGAAGGAAGAGGGAGAAGGAGGGGAAGGAAGGAAGGGGGTGGGGGAGGGGAGGGAAGGAAGGAAGGAAGGAAGAGGGAGAAGGAGGGGAAGGAAGGAAGGAAGGAAGAGGGAGAAGGAGGGGAAGGAAGGAAGGAAGGGGGTGGGGGAGGGAGAGGGAAGGAAGGAAGGAAGAGGGAGAAGGAGGGGAAGGAAGGAAGGAAGGAAGAGGGAGAAGAGGGGAAGGAAGGAAGGAAGGGGGTGGGGAGGGGGAGGAAGGAAGGAAGGAAGGAAGAGGGAGAAGGAGGGGAAGGAAGGAAGAAGGAAGAGGGAGAAGGAGGGGAAGGAAGGAAGGAAGGGGTGGGGGAGGGAGAGGGAAGGAATGAAGGAAGAGGGGAGAAGAAGGGGAAGGAAGGAAGGAAGGAAGGAAGGAAGGAAGGAAGGAAGGAAGGAAGCAAGGGAGAGAGGAAGGGAAAAGGGAGGGAGGGAGGGAGGGGAAGAGAACCGGAAGGAGGGAAGATGAAGGAAGAGGAGAATGGATGGAAGGAAGGAAGGAAGGAAGGAAGGAAGGGAAGGAAGGAAGGAAGGAAGGGGGTGGGGGAGGGGGAGGGAAGGAAGGAAGGAAGGAAGAGGGAGAAGGAGGGGAAGGAAGGAAGGAAGAGGGAGAAGGAGGGTAAGGGAGGAAGGAGGAAGGAAGGAAGGAAGGAAGGAAGGAAGGAAGGAAGGAAGGAAGGGAAGCAAGGGAGAGAGGAAGGGAGAAAGGGAGGGAGGGAGGGAGGGGAAGAGAACCGGAAGAGGGAAGATGAAGGAAGAGGAGAATGGATGGAAGGAAGGAAGGAAGGAAGGAAGGAAGGGGGTGGGGGAGGGGGAGGGAAGAAGGAAGGAAGGAAGGAAGAGAAGGAGGAGAAGGAGAGGGAAGGAAGGAAGGAGAAGGAGGAGAGGAGGAAGGGAGGAAGGAAGGAAGGAAGAGGGAGGAAGGAGGTTGGAAGGAAGGAAGGAAGGAGAGAAAGAGGGGGAGAGGGGGAGGAAGGAAGGAAGGAAGGAGGGAAGGAGAGGGAGGAAGGAAGGAAGGAAGAGGAGAAGGTCTTGGAAGGAAGGAAAGAAGGGAGGGAGGGAGGGGGAAGAGGAGGGAGAGAGAGAGAAAGGGAGGGGGGGAGTTGAAGAAACCCTCCTTCTGGAGAGATCCGGAAGAAGAAGGAGGGATGGAAGGAAGGAAGAGAAAGAAAGGAAGGAAGGAAGGGAAGGAGGAAAGGTTTAGGGAGGGGGGGAGGGGAGGGGAAGGAAGGGAGGGAGAGAAGGAGAGAGGGAGGAAGGAGGGAAAGGGGAGAGAGAAGGGGAGGAAGAGGGAAGAAGGAAGGAAGGGAGGAAGGAAGGAAAGAAGGGATTCCTTCCGAGGGATCAGGGAGGAAGGGAGGGGAAAGAGAGGGAGGGGAGGGAGAGGGAAGAGAACCGGAAGGAGATCCTGAGGGAGGAAGATCTCCATGGAGGGAGGAAGGCCTTCCTTCTCCTTGGGAAGGAGGGAGGGGAGGGGGTTCCTTCCTTCCTTCCTTTCCTTCCTCTTTCTCCTTCCTTTCCTTCCTTCCTTCCTTTCCGAGGCTCCTTCTTTTCCTTCCTTCCTTCCTTCCTCTTTCTCCTTCTTGGGAGGAAGGAAGAAAGAAGAGGGAGGGAGAGAGAGGGACTTCCTTCCTTCCTTCCTTTTTATTTTCTTTCCTTCCTTCCTTCCTTCCTCTTTCTCCTTCTTTCCGCCTTCCTTTCCTTCCTTCCTTTCCAGCCCTTCTCTCTTCCTGGGAGAGAGAGGGAGGAAGGGAGGGAGGAGTCCCCTTCCTTCTTTCCTCATCCTTCCGCTCTCCAGGAAGTCCTTCCTTCCTTCCTTCCTTCCTTCCTTTTAGGGGTCTTTGAGGGGGGGGGGGGGGGGGGGGGGGAAGGGAGGAAGAGAATCCTCCTTCCTTCCTTCCTCTTTCTCCTTCTTTGCCTTCCTTCCTTCCTTCCTCTTCTCCTTCTTTTCCTTCCTTCCTTCCCTTCCTTCCTTCCTTTATTTTCTTTGGGAGGAAGGGGGGAAGGAGGGGAAGGAAGGAAGGAAGGAAGGAGGTCCTCCTTCCCTTTCCTCCCCTTTCTCTCTTCCTTTCTCCCTTCTTTCTTTCTTTCTTTTCCTCTCCCCTTCCGGAGGGCCTAGATCCTTCCTCTTCGAGATTGATTCCTTCCTTCCTTGGATGGAAGGAAGGACTTTCTTTCTTTCTTTCGTCCTTTCTTTTTCCTTCTTTTTCCCTGGCCCTCCTTCCCTCCCTCCTTCCTCCCTGAAAGAAAGGAGGACCTTTAGACTATCTCCCCACTCCCCCCACCCAACATCCCTCAAAACCCCCACATCCCCATTGCTACACCCCCCCATTCATTTGACATAAAACGCCCCCAGTCCCCAACCACTACAAACAGCCTTGTGCAATCCCTGGGTTCCTATCATCCGCCAAAGTGACTCTGACCAGCAAAACCAAAGGGGGGAAACCAGATCCCCAACAACCGCATAGATTCACACAACACTGGGGGCAAAAAAGTCAAAAAATGGGCCCAAAATTCACCCATCAGGTGTCTTGCTTAGCCACAGAATTTTGGGCTCAGTTTTGGTCATGAGTCATGATTCATACTTAATATGAACCAGTTGCCCAGCGTCTTAATTTGATCACATGGCCACGGGATGCTGCCACGGTCATAAGTGTGAAAAATGGTCGTAAGTCACTTTTTTCAGGGCCGTCGTAACTTCAAACAGTGACTAAAGTTACCGGTTGTAAGTTGAGGACCTCCTATAAAAATAAATTGTGGCCATATATCAAGGATACCCGGATAATTATTACTTGCAGGCTTTGTTTTTTCATCTTTAGGCACTGCCCATCACTTGAGAATTCGCCGGATCCCAGATACAGGTAGTCCTCAATTAATAACAGCTCATTTAGTGACCGTTTAAAGTTACAACGGCACCGAAAACAGCGACACGACCATTTTTCACATGACCTACATCCTTATGATCACAGGATTAAAATTCAGACGCTTGGCAAGTGCCTCACACTTGTGACGGGGAATCACATGTCCCCTTTTGCGACCTTCGGCCAAGCCAAGCCCAAGGGGAATCCAGATTCACTTAACAACGGTGTGTCTAACTTTAACAACTGCAATGATTCGCTTAAGGATTGTGGCAAGGAAGGTTCGTAACGTTCACTTAACGAATGACTCACTTAGCAACAGAAATGTTTGCACTCAGTTGGGGTCGTACGTCGAGGACTCTCTGTACAGGTAGTCCTCAACTTACAATGGTTCGTTTAGTGACTGAAAAATGTTGAGTTATGACCGTTTTCTCCACACTTACGAACTTTGCAGCGTCCACCCATGCTCGGGTGATCAAAATTCAGACTCTTGGCCACTGACTCACATTTATGACGGTCTCAGCGTCCCAGGGGTGTGTGTGTCACGTGATCCCTTTTTACAACCTCCTGACAAGCAAAATCAACGGGGAAGCGAGATTGACTTAACAACCGTCTTACTAAACTTAACAACTGCAACAAGACAGATAGTAAAATGGGGGTGGGGTTGAAACTTGCTTAGGGAATGTCTCACTTAATAACAGAAATTTTGGGCTCGGTTGTGG